TTTTAAAAGTAATGAAATACTTTACTTTTTTATTTGTATTCTTTAGTAATTTGTTAATTTTTTTTTCTAAAATTTCAATATTATTATAAAAAATATAATGTTTGTATATTCAATACATTTTATTTTTGCAAAAGCAATTAATATCAATTTGCATTTCAAAGCAAGCAATTTGCAAGAAAATTATTTTATTACATTTCAATTTTATTTCTTAGTTTAAGAAAATTTATGTTTTTCGCTTTTATGAATATAGAATAATGAATATAAAATATTTCGTAAAAATACAATTAAAATTTCAATTTCATTATTATAAGAAACGCATCAAATTTTATAGAATTTTATTAAAAAAATTGCAATCATTTTATAATTATTAAAAGAACTTTGTGAAATATTTCATAAATGTGCAATTTCAGAAATAATAAATAAAAATAAAAAGTAATTCAAACTTTGATTCAAAGTTTAGTAGACAATTTTAATGTTAAGACCATTTTATGAATTGTAATTTATATTGTATTAATAAGAAAAATATATAAAAAACTTTGATAACTTTTCATAATTTGTATTATTTCATTCAAATATAAATAACTTTTACTAAAAAAAGAACAAACTACAAATGTATAATATATAATATTTCTAGTAAAACACTTTATTTTTTTTAAGAAGAATCCATTTGTTACTTATATTCCAACATTATTACAAAAATAACAGTTAGTTACATTTTAAAGATTTTTTTTTGTTCTTTTGCACAATATTCTTAGAAATGTGTTAAAACTTTAAAAAAAGGTTGATATTGTATTCGTGATTCCAGTATGCACCAGATTTTTGAAAGAGAAATGGGACAGGTTTTATGTGAACGGTCACTTCTACCCATTTAATTGTGTGTGAAAGAAGCAAAAATGAACTGAAAACTGGTCTAGAAAATATATTTTTTATGTATTAAAGAAAAACAGGTAAAAAAGTAATTGTTATTTCATGTTATAATAAATTGATGTTTTCACTTAATATTATTAAAATTTAAATAAATTGTATAAATTATAATTGAAGTTTTTGAAATATAACAAAAACTTGAACGTAAAAGTATTTAAAAATTTGCGCAAACCAAACTGTTGGGTCTATTTCATATTAAACAAAAAATAGTATTCTTTTGTTTCTAGTATGCACAAATATGCACATTCATGCTCTAAGCATAAAGCGTTTAAATCACTTACTTTCTTGACCGATATACAGAATACACACACACAAAAAAGACTCAGAAAATTAACATAACATATTGCGAATGCTAAAAGGCATTTGCGCAGATTGAGTTGTCTTTACCTGCATAACTCGACGAGCAAACGGAATTTCATTACAGTTTAAACGTTTGATCAATGGTATTTCCATAGCGAGTCTAACCATGACTTTGGAGATGAACCTTGACCCACATAATAAGTTTATATTGAAACAAAAAGCTAGATGATAACAACCCCAATTTGCAAAAGATGAATGAATAATATCTGGTTTTTTTTGTTGTTTTGTACAAGGAATTCAATCGTCGGGCAGATTATGTAAACCGTCTTGGGAAACGGAAAATTTCCCTCGCTTTTTCTCTCTCTTCCCCCGCGCAAACATAATTTACTACTTCGAATTAATCACGCGCTCCAAGGAGATTTATACTTCTTATCTTCGTTCCCAACATCATACATCAATAAAGACCTAACTGGATTTTCTTTCCCATTGTTTTAATATCACGCGTTTTTTTTTAATTTCCTTCTATATATTTTTTTTTACAAATTCACAAATTTAGTTACGTGACTCATTTAGTAAACACAACATTCTCTTTTTCTGCATCATTTCGATGCGTTTGCTCTTTTACAACAGTCGTCTATTCGAGAAAGAGCGAAAGAAATAGTCATGTTTACTACACGCATTACAAAGTCATCAACATAAAACTTATTGCCGGATTCACCTTGAAAGCTTAATTCTTTTACGAAACGAAGATTGCTACGATCCATTTAATTAGTTTTACGATTACGACACTCATAATTTTTCCAATTAAATTTATTAAATTTGCCATTTTATTCAGTATTTTTTTTCTTTAATAAATTATTATTTCTCTTGGCTTGGATCGGGTTTGGATGAGAACGAGTTCTTAGAACGAGTATTTACGTTGCGTTGCGTCCTGTAATGCATGGAAATTTCAATAAATTTGATAGACTCGTTCCATAAATAATAATGCTTGTATTTCATTTAAAAAATAAATAAATAAATAAAACCAGTATCAATGCACAAATTAGAGAAAATTTAAAAAAAAAACAATTTTCTGTCTGTAATATAACTCAATATAAAATAAAATAAATAATGAAAAATTGAGTAAAAATATTGATGGATTGTAGTAGTCTTCAATGTAAATAAATGTAATTTTCTACAAATATGGAATCAATTTGTTACCTATACGATTTATTAAATATTAATGCAACAGTAATGACGGCTCTATTTGAAACTGTTGGAAGTTATGTTTTTTTTAAATTATCTGAATTGTACTGCGAGCGTATCCAATTTTAGCTCTCAAGGACGAACGATGTTAGTAGAATAATTCACTTTGTAAATAATGCTTTAAACTTATTTGAACTATCGATGCATAAGCGAGTACATATTTTCTAAGAAAACTTTGTTTGGTTGGAACAAACATTGGATCTTTGTCATATATTAAATTGTTGATGTATTTACTAGAGGAAAAAGCATGCAAAATACGTTAATTGTTTTATATTGGCTTATTTATTAACGTTCGACGTGACCTTCATTGTAATCATTACTTTATATAATCGTAGATATCTATTTACGGTTTGTTTCTTAGCTTATTTTTCTAATTTTCAACGTTTTGTTATAATACAGAAATCATAATACAAAAATTTTGAATCTACAATAAAATTCGGCTTTTATTTTTCAAATTTTGAACAATTTGTAATCATAATTAATTGAATAAAATCATTGATTTTTGCGTAAAATTAAATAATTTAAAAATTTATTGCAAGTTTTATTAATGTTTTCACAAACAATTCACAGAAATATCAATAATTTAAAAATATGCAAAACTATTGAAAAATCCATTAATTCTTTCACAAAGTTATGAGAAAGAAGTTCTTAAATGAAATTTAGTCGAGAAGTGCAACATTTTCAAGAAATTATATTTTTTTTGTACAGTAAGATTATTTATTATAAGAACGTTGACCGTGTTATTCGAAACATCGTGTTAATGAAGAACCGTGTTATTCGAGTAACTTAGTAAAATCATATTTCTCAATTGACCAAATATACTAAAAAATATAGTTTTAATTTTATAGAAGTAATACAATTATTTATTTCTGGGAAATAATCTACTGTTCTATAAATAAAAATAAATTATAAGGAACAAGTATTAATATTAATATTTGTGAGAAATTACAAAAAAAAAATATATACAATACTTTTTTTTACTGAAATTGTAAATGTTTTGAAACAAGTTTGTCATTTCTAAAGATATAATAATAAAAAATAATTAGAAGGAACCGAGTTTCCTCAATTTACCCGAAACAGGATTAAAACAATTTAATTATAATAAAACTTTTATTTCGTAATATTTACGAAAACTATGAAGAGAGAGAAGAAAAAAACTTAGATTGTTTCCTCAACATTAAAAGTTACTGTTTTACAAGATGCAATCTGGTCTTTACAAAAGTTAACGGCTGCACGGAATTAGTAATTATTTAACTGGAAGATTTAAAAAAAAAACCGTGGGACTAATTTCGAAGATTTGTCTCATAACACGAAAATTTGTTCCGCAACGAATGGGATTTAGGGAAACGGTGGAAAGGATATGTGCCACGATTATAAAAATTATATAGCATGACAGGATTAGTTAAATGTGGTTAAAGTCTGTAACTTTTTGGAATTAAAAAAAAGTTAAATTTGTTTTTTTTATTCTAAAATTTATCATTTGCCTTTTAAATACAGATATTGAAGTTTCTTCTTTGAAATCCCAGTTGAAGTCCTTAATAAATAAGTTGAAATTGTAATTTTTACTTAAAAATTCAAATCTTTAATTTAAAATTTCGTTCTTTTTGTTCTATTTGAAGAATTTGACACAAAATTTTACCTTTAAAAAAAGTTGTTACAAATTATTGCATAAAGTTTGTGACAATTACTTGTTTCTACATTTTCATAACAAATTTGTTGTAAAACATGCAAATTAATTATTTAAAAAAAACGTAATTTACTGAGTATTTATATAATTTTGTAGATTTCTATAACATTTAAGCAAAAATTAAGTCATTTATAAAAAAAAAATTGTTATGATTCACATTGTTAAATAAATAGATTTTCTTATTTAATTCATAAAAAATTGTAATCTACAATTTATTTTAAATCATTTACAATTATGAACTAGAATTTATATAATATAATTCAGAGAAAATAAAAGTTATTTCATTGATAGAAGAAAACAATCTGAAATAATAAAAGTTATTGAATAATATAATGTTAAAATTAAAAACTTGTGCACTAAAAATTTGAAGTGAATATAGTAAACTTTAGTAGATATTTGTGAGAACCATAATGAAACTTGCATGTTTCATGGAAATATTGGATTTGAGGCGTGAAAAATCCTATTAGTTCCAAGAAATTTGTCGACATGAATTGTGTTGAGTCGTATAAAAGTATATGGAAATTGATTCAATTGAAATAAACAAGCACGTTATTATTTTGAATGGTAGTAGCATTTGGATGTGAAAGGTCAGGATCAGCTGAGAAAGAAGAAAGAAACGAAGGTTACGAACTTAATGAAGTAATAATTGTACGGACTTTTTTTAATTAGGAATATGTTATTGGATATGAATATCCAGGATCAAAAGGGGAAATGATGCCGTCCATTGTTAATTAGTTTGGAAAGGATGTAGGAAACGGATGTGAAGAGAAAAACTTCGATGAATGAAAAAGCAGAGTAGTTATTGTGTGTGTGTACAATGAATATGAGGAAGTGAATGTCATACCTAAAACTGGACGTACTTCTTCTGCCTTGGCATTGGGAATATGAACTTGCTGTTGTATCCAAGTAGGCTCCAAACACCAACCACAACACACAACAACAACAAAAAAAAAACTGCACTGCAAAAATCACTGATCGAATTTCACATCCGACGAAACGAATCTGATGGTCTCTTTCTGTGGAATCATTCACATCTCTGAATGATGATTTAATGTATTAAAGTATGTATGTTTTATTTACCGACCGGCTTTTCCTATGAGAAATGCAAGTAAGTTGAGTGGAGAGGTGTATTCTCGAGTTCGGCGTTTGCGCGTGGAATGCAAGCGGCTACGAAACGTCGCCCACGAGCGCTCGGAACGTACTGAACTCTCCAATATGGCGACCGTAGGGGCATTAGCTACGCGAACTTTCGATCGAGCACAGAAATACGTCAACCCTCCCCACCGCCGAACTCAACCGAAGAGAAGATCCGACAGTTCGTAACCGACTTCGGTTCGAACTGCTTTTGATCCACGTAATAATACACACCGATACATTCTGATATTCGTTAATTATTAATAATCATTAAAACAAAAGAAATAACAGCAATCAAATAAAGTATTGATATCTTCCACAATTATTAATGTAAAATGACCATACTTTACTAATTATAAACAATAATTATAAGAAATTCAATAAAATCAAATATTACATTACATTATTTAATTATTAATTCTATTAACAAATAAATGAACTTTACAACTTCTTAATTATTTGTTAGTAATAATTACTATAATTGTTTTAAATTATTGTTAAATAATATTACAAAATTTAAAGCAAATTTACACAAAAGTTTTCTTAAATTTTTAATTACAGTAAATATAGTTAAAACAATTTTCAAGATAATACAAATGTATATAATTAACAAAAAAAGGTTTTTCAATAATTATTAATAAATTTGAATTATACAATATAGAATAACATCAATTAAATAATTATTAATTATTTTTTTTCTTTGTTTATTTTTTCATAAAAACATTCATAACCATTTAAATAATAAACGTAATTGAATGAAACATTGTTTTTCTTATCCTAATTTATTATATTTTTCTTTAGTTTTTATATTAAATCATCATAAATTTTTAATATTATAAGCAACAAACAAACAGTAATTACAGTAATTATTTTTTAAAGAAATTTTAAGTTTATATGAATTTATATAATTAATTAAATAAATAATTATTGAAACAAGAAAACACTGAAACAAATTATTAATAAAAAAAAATATGGAGCAAACATAGTCAAATCAATTAAAGTACATCTATCCCTCGATTTACACGGTATATTCATTACACGTTTTCGATTTTACACGGTTTAAAAAAAATAAATGTTGAAAATAACCAATTCCTTCTTTTACACAGTACTTTTTTACTCGTTTTCACGTTGTTAAAGCAAATAAAAATGTTTGTATTATCCGTGTTTTTCAATTATCCCTGCTCAAACGTTTTGCCACGGATAATCGATTAAATTTATGTAAGTAATGAAATAATTACTTCTTAATTTATTATATAACTCTTTTTAAATTATTACTATTAAGCAAAATATAACAACAACAAGAAAACTGTATCTTAATTGTTATTACTAGATACAAAGGAAAGTACTAAAACTAATTTCCCTTATATTTCATGTTCATGTTTTTTTTTTCTACTTTAAAAAAAATAAATAACATTATTAACAGATCAATTAATTGCCTTTATTTATCATAGTAAAAGTGATAAAAAGTAAGAAAAAAACACATTAATTGATTATTTTTTTTATCAAAAGCAAGTGAATATAATAATTATGTTTCAATTAATTACATATATTTAATGAAATTATATTTGGAACAAAGACATGTAATATACTAATCACTTTTAAAAAGATTAATTAAACATACATTACAATTAATTAAACAAAAAGTTAATAAATGAAATAACAAATTTATGTAGATTTTCAGTTTGTAAAGAATTAACTAATACACTATATTTATGTACAATGTACTATATTTAAAACTAAAAATGATAATTTATTAGGGCAGAAAGACCTATGGTCAATATTGTATTGAGTTTATCTTTTGCTGATTTATTGTTGCAATAAATAATATTATTTGATAATTTATATATCGAATAAGTAAATTAAAACCAAAACTACAAGAAATCCAATTATTATTATATTTGTTGGCTTAAATCTAGTAAAATGAATTGTAAGGAAAATGACTCGCTTAACGAGCGACGTTTCGCATAACGAGTGACGATGAGAAAAGAAGTCCCGGATTTCGCGCCTGCGAAATTTTTAAAACTTGTGTACACATATTATGTGTATTTTTGAATATGTTTTAATATACGAGTAAAAATCCGGAAATTTTGTATTTGTATTAACGTGTGTAATTAATTCTTAAATATTTGTAATTTGTTAAATGTTTTGAATAACTGTTTTTAATTTATGAATGTTATATAAATTAAAATGAATATGAATGAATGAATGAATGATGAATTGTACATTTTTAAGCTATATATTGTAAGTAATGATGTTTTTTCTAAGTATATTTAATAGGAGGTACATTGACATACAGACCTAGAGCTAGGCTAGAGAGTGCCATTATGTTTATCCTGGATTCGAGCGGAAAGTACTAAACGACTGATAGCACGTTTTGTATGTGGGAGAGTGGAAACGCGTTATTGGATGGATAAGGATAAGCCCCGTGTGTGTGTGATGTATGTATGGATGGAAGAGGAGAATATTGGTTGCACCAGACCACCGAATGCAAGCAAGGGTTTAAACTGGACGAACGAGAAAACCCACATTTTCGATCGTGCGGATTGAATGCTTCCACAAGGATTGCGAACTGGAGGTGTCTCTCTGTAATGAGAAAAATAAAAGATAACCAAAAGCATAAAATAGGTGCAGTTTCTAACAAAAAAGGAAGTTGAAAAAAAAATCTATATTTTGCAGATTTATTTATTATAGAATTATTTCATTTTTGCATTGAAAAATATTAAAATATGTGCAGTATCTCATGAAAAAGATCAAAAAGTCTATATATTTCAGATTAATCAAAGCATTATTGATTTTTTTTATTTTTCATTGAAAAATATTAATTTATTTCTTTTTTTATTGATAAAATATTAAAATATGTTCAGCATCTCATGAAAAAGAATCAAGAAGATACGTTGGAAAGGTGAAACATTGTTTCATAGAAAATTGCGTAAAGGTGGCACCTATCTTACACAAACATGAAATGCAACAAAAGTTACGTAATTTTTGAGTAATTAAGAAAAAACGTGAAAACTCGTCGGATCTCAGCGAAACAGCGATTTTTTTTTCATTTTCTACAGGATAGAGATATTTTCAATTTATCAAATATCCTTAAAGATATTTTGCAGTATGTCATAACAAAGAAGAAAAATACTATTTGCAGATTAATGAAATCAGTTTTGAATTGTTTAATTTTGCATTGAAAAGTATAAATTATTTCTTTTTTATTGAAAAATGTATTGAAATATGTGCAGTGTCTCATGAAAATGAGCAAAAATGCAATATTTTGCAGATTAATCAAATCATCATTGATTTTTTTTTAAAACTATTAAATGATTCTTTTTTATAGTGAAAAAAATAAAATATATGCACTATTTCAAGAAAAAAGAAAATAAAAATTTTGCAGATTCATTTCATAATGAAATTATTGCATTTTGTATTAAAAAACATTAAATTATTTCCTTTCATTGTAATTATAAAACTAAATTAATTTCATTTAATTAATTACGTTATAATATATAATGGATTTTCACCATTATATAATTTTCAACTAAAACATATTTATATCCATGACAAGTAATAATCGAAAATAGAGAAATAAAATATTCCAGCGTGGATTTCTTTAATTATATAATGCATTTCCATAATTAAAATGAATACATTTAATAAACCATCGACATTATTTATTAGCGAATTCAATAATTAATGAAACAATTATTCCATTATTAACGAGCGGTTGAATAAGCAACGTTCTGTTTGCTCTGTTTTATTATCAACCGTCATACATTAATTACATTTATCCAAAATCTAATCACCATTCGGAAAGCGACGTGGGAAACGCACTTTGTTCGTATATGTGTATGAATATGTGCATATATGAATATTCGCGTATTGTCAGTTATATTGTACGCACAATTTTGTAAAACAGCCAAACCCGAAATGCATCATTTCATTGAGTATATGTAACAATTATTTATTCAATGTTAGTTTTAGAAGTTTATCAATATATGTGAATTAATTATTATTACATCTAAATAATATTATAATATATTATTTCTATGAAAATAATATTTAATATAACAGTAAGATATCAAAACAAAAAGAAGATATCGAAGTATTTACGTTAATTATAAATTAAAACAAAAATTAAGATAAAAAATAGTCAAAAATTGAATGAATGAATGATTAATAACAATTGATTATCAAGTTTTATTATGTAAATATTTAGTCGACATTAATATTTTAGAAACTGAAAAAAAAGTTGAGCAAAATAATGTTTTTTGCTTTCAAATTTTTAATTCTTGAAAGTATTTGCAAATATTAGGAAATAATTGAACAAATAGGATTTAATGATTGAAAATCAGTCAATGAATCAAATTTGATTTGGAAAAACAAATGATTTTCTATCTTTTAATGTTTCTACAGTATCAATAAAATATTATTTTTTTTTTCAAAATTCAATATTATTTTTTAGCTGCATTTCTTTTTACAATAGATTTTTAAGAAATTTATATCTGTTTAAATATAAGATTACCTTTCTCATAGTAATATATATTGCAATAATACAAAAAAAAGACAAAATTTACAATTTTCATACAGTATAAAACAAAATGTGAAAATCTAAAATTATTGCAGTAATTACTAAAATTTCACTATTTTTCAGCGACATTTTAAAATTTCTATACGTGTCTATCAAGTTGATAAATTTAAATAATTTCATGTCATAAATGACATATTTGTTTAACAGAATTCACACGTTTGTTTTCAATGCTGAGATGTTTCCATAGTTTAGTTTATAAATGATACACATTTTAATGTAAACTTGACTGTCATCTTTTGACATATGTCAATACATACTTACTAATGATACATACATGTATTGTCATTAATGACCCAAACTTTATGTCATCATTTGACAGATTTAAATACATACTTGTCATTTTTGATATATACGTTTACTGTCTTCATTTGATAGATGTAAATACATACCTTTTCTCTCATCATTAATAAATTTTAATATTTTGTTGTTGTGTGACAGATTTAACATATTTCAATACAATATAATTAAATCCATTAATCAATATTTTTTAATCCGGAAGTCTTTC